GGTAAGCGTTAGCCCTACCGCTTTTGGTGTATCTCGAATTTTACACGTCTTGCCATAATGTCGGATGCTAATCATTTCCGCAGGTATGGTGGCGCAGCATTGGGCATAAACGAAAGCACTCCCCTCCTCGAGGCATGTGCTCTTGTTGTCGAGCTCCTCTACGGCGAAGGCGTCGAGATGCACTGGCAGAACATCGCCCTGGTGGGCGTGGCGGCTCGAACGTGACTCCGAAGATGCACCGCACGATGGACCCCAACAGCTCAAGTCTGAGTGCGGCCATGCCAAGGTGAGTGGCCATAGCGCCCTCCTTCCACCCTGCCAGGGGTGCGTGGGCAGATCGCAGCTCTCACAGGTGCGCAGGGCTCGGACGGGCGGACCCTACAACAGGCGAGCCGAACGGGCGCACCCCAACGAGCGGCTCGGGGCTCGGGCCCTCCCCCTCCTCCTCATGCTCCTCCTCCATCTCCTCCCCCTCCTCCACCTCCTCCCCCTCTCCTCCTCCTCCCCCTCCTCCTCCTCCTCCCTCCTCCCCCTCCTCCTCCTCCTCCTCTCCTCCTCTCCTCCTCCTTCTCCATCTCCTCCCCCTCCTCCACCTCCTCCCCCCCCTCCTCCTCCTCCCCCTCCCCCTCCTCCTCGTCCTCTCCTCCTCCTCCTCCTCCTCCTCCTCCTCTTCCCCCCTTCCTCCTCCTCCTCCTCGTGGGGGCAGGATTCCGGGCGACAGAAACCCAACGATAAAGCCAAGTGGGCGGACTGTGCCGTACGGGTCGGGCGAGCGGACCCGAACGGGCGGGTCGGGCGGGCAGCACCCGAACGCGGGAACGTGAGCTTACGAGCTCGCGAGCGGGCTGCCGAGTCTTACCGCTCCTCCTCCCTCTCCTTCTCTCCTCTTCCTGTTCCTCCCCCACCCACCATCTACCTCCTCCTGCCTGTTCTCCTCCTCTCCTCTTCCTGCTCCCCCCCCCCCTCCTACCTCCTCTCCGCTCGCCTCCTCTCCTAAACCTCCTCCTCTCTCTCCTCCTCTCCTCATCCTGTTCCTCCCACTCCTTCTGCTCCTACCTCCTCCCCACGCTGGGAAAGGCGGGCTCCCCCTGTTGCTTGTCCTTTCCCCATCGGGAGGGCAGGGGGGGGCGGACCGACCCCCACACCAAAAAGCTCACCCAAGCGATCACGAGGCAGCATCCGTCGTAGGTCGAGAGGAGCTGCGCAACACGCTGGGGCAGACAAGAACCCGAAGCGTGCGGGACGGAGGCACTTGGGAATAGCAATGTCGACTCCGCACTTTGTCTTCTCTGTATGGCGATCCGCGCGCTGACGATCCCAACGAATGCCGATCGACAGAACATGTTGTGCCAAAGTACAGGAACTGGCTCTTGTGATCGGTGCGGCGAACTCCTATGCTAACTCACGCCGCCGTTATCCGCACCCCACATCATGTGGGAACGCCTGTCGAGCACGGCCCACCACCACGCCCCAAGCCCCACAACCTCCCGCAATCGTGCCGTCACCCTGCCGCGAGGCACCTCAGTGGGATGTCCTCAGGTCCCTCCGAGCTCCCTCAACTCAGCATTGCGCTATAAGGGGCCCAAAGCCCCAATTGCCCGATCTTTCCTATCCCTTCCGTTCCTTCCTTCCCTCCCTCGTGAATCGCCCCAGCCTCTGATTTCAAGAACACCTGGCAACAACAGATTCAGCAGCCAAAAAAAGGCTTCTCGCTCGAAAACCAAGAAAAAGAGAAAACATAAAACGGCAAATCCCTCCCTCATTGCTCCCCCACTCCGTCCGCGGAAGGTCGCGACAGCGGCAGCAATCTGGAAACATCGGTGGAAACACACCCAGCATGCCCCTCTACGTCAGTGCGTGGGAGCGGCTCTGGAGGCGGCGGCGCGTCCGCCGCGCTTCCCCCCTCCGCCCCCTTCGCCCTCCCGCCAACTCCTCCCGTCTGTCGTTGGACTTCTCGGCGTCGGCAGAGGAGCGTGTGAGCGAGCAAGGTCGGAGATCGTGTGATCTCACGTAGGAGGTACGAACGACAGTGCACAGCCCTTGCAACATAACTAAGGGTGCACAGGCCGAGCTCGGACTCTAGCCTGCAAATTCAAATGTATGCAGTGATACAAATATTGGTGAAACACGCGCGGTCTCTTCCTCACCAAGGAAGCAAGCATATCGCGGTGCGTCCGCCGCTCAATTCCACACTGCCTTACATAAGTTCGCGAGGGACGAGGTGCAAGGGGTCTTGGCGGATTCCCGCCTGCCACCGGCACTCTCTGCGACTACCCCATTGCTTATGACCGGGCTATCACAGATCGAGATGTCTACAACAGGGTGGGCTGTGCTGAATAGCGCAGACGTAGGAGGCCCATGGCCGCAGACAAGGAGAGAGAAGCGGCTGGTACCAGCTGCAAAGATGGACTCCGAAGGCCAAAGCACATGTATTACTCTTCTCTTGCGCAGACCGAGCGCGGGGGACTTCAAGTGGCCCAGGGGTGGATCCGTTCCGAATGCCACCCGATGGAAGACAACCAGGCTTAAAACTATTGTTGTTGTTGCTGCTGCTGCAGTTGTTGCCTTTGCTGTCGTTGAGCTCTCACTACTGAAAAACTATTGTTGATCCCCCCTCTGATGACCATTTTGTTTTTCAATTGAAGTGCTTCCCCCAGGGCTCGCACGTTGTTTTTTTTATCAGGGGAAATCACGGGGCTCAAACTGTGCCCCTGGCCCCAGGTTTACAACAGCAACAACGGCCCCCGCCTGATCACAATGTATTCCCAAATCGCGCTCTCGCGCGGGACTTCATCACACTTCATGTACGCATCGCGCTCTCGCGTGGGACTTCCTCGCAATGTAATCAAACGAGGCGCCCTCGGCGCTCAGGAATCATGCTCTCGCTTTGGCATTTATCACGATTTACTTGGGAATCGAGCTATCGTTCGAGACTTCCTCGCGATTCATGCAGGACCTACGCTTCAACAACCCGCCTGCTCGACCTCGTCGCCTGGGCCTGCCTTCCCGACCTGCCCGCCATGGGTCTGCCCACCCGATCTGCCCGTCTGGTTCTGCCATGTGTTTTCTGCTCGTTCCATTCTCCTCCCTCCCCCTTCCACTCGTCCTCTCTTCCCTTGTTTTAGGGGCTGCACTAAATGCACGTGGCAGGTAAAGGAAGATATACCCCCAATGTGGTACGATCGAAGACGACGATGGCGGGTACCGAGGGTTTGGGATATACGTATTGCTTGGCACGTGAGCAGATAGGAGCGACAAACTATTATCATGGTTGTTGTTGTAATAGGCTGGGGCCAAAAACACAGCCTGAGGCCCAACACTTTCCATTATGAGAACAAGCTGCGAGATTCAGGACGGGCATTTCAATTGAGAAAGCAAAGGGTGCACCAGAGAGGAGGGATCAACAATAACTATATTTCTTCTTCAGAACTGAGAACCCAACAGCAAGAATGCGCACCGCGGATTCCCTCATCAATCCCACGGCGCGGTTGGTAGATGACCTGCGCGGTAGCGCAGAGGGAAAGCCATGCCCAGCGCTCTCATGTAAAGGCGGCGGGCGGCAAACTTTTCAGACCAGAGCGTTCGGCAGGACAGCTTCCTTTGGTGCACATTTCCTGAAGTACCTCGTCAGACCAGAGCTTTCGCTTCGCAACGCTTCCTCGGTGCACAGTCGCACGTGCACGTGTGCAATACGTCCAGGGGGTCTGGGCGACCGCCACGTGGACGAGGCATGCGAGGACAAGGGGGGAGACCTGCGAGGACCACCGAAGCAGACACCGGGTGAACAGGGCAGGCCAGGCGTGCCGGCTGGAGAAACGGGGGGCATAGGGGAGCGCGAAAGGGCTCGGGGAGGGTTCGCAGGAGGAGGGAGGAGGAGGAAGACGAGGAGGACCAGTGTAAACCCAAGGGTCGTCAACGATGTTGGAGCAAGCCCTCTCTCCAAACTCCCTCTTCACCGGCCCCTGCAACGGTTCATTTCTAATGAGGGAACTGCATCGCTGGAAGACACCCGTTTGCAGACCCTGACACATGCGAACACATTGTTCTCGGGATTCCAACGCCACGGATCAACCTGACTGTTCCGTCTTGACTATCCTGAACCGTGCCAAAACGCAATTCATAGGACTTCAACACAGAGAATCAACGTACCTGTTGCGCCCGCATAGTCCTGAATCCTTCCGGAACACCATTTCTGGTACGCTGATGATGGGAGACCGTGATGTCTTAAATTGTGTAAACGAATGTGCGCGGCGCTTAAGCGAGAATCGAATTTTGAAAACAAGCCGCCCTCAACCCGTGAAACTCTTTGCAATTATTTAGAATGAATTTGCGCCGCGCTAAGGCGAGAGCCACATTTTGAAAACCACCCGCCCTCAATCCGTGAAGCCCTTGCAATTGTTTAAATCAAATGTGCGCCGCGCTAGGGCGAGAACCACGTTTTAAAAATCACTCGCCCTCAATCCGTGAAACCCTTGCAAGTTTTGTAAAGCAAATGTGCGCCGCGCTAAAGCGAGAACCACATGTTGAAAACCATCCGCCTTCAATATGTGAAACGCTTGCAAATTGTTGAAACGAATGTGCGCCGCGCCCAGGCGAGAACCACATTTTGAAAACCCCCCGCCCTCCGTCCGTGAAACTGTTGCCAAATGTTTGAAGTCTCAGGCGAAACGCTCGGCCCGCCTTGAAAAATGGCCTCGGGGTGCGACAGGGAGAAGTTATTTATAATGGAAAGGAATGGAGGAGGCGGAGGAGGAGGAGGAGGAGGAGGAGGAGGAGTAGGAGGAGGAGGAGGAGGAGGAGGAGGGAGGGCGACGAGGAAGGGAAGGGAAGGAGCTGGGAAGGAGAGGGATTGGGACCCAGGAGGATGATAATTACGGGGGGCGATGTGGCGAGGAGATGGGCGGACTCTGGTCAACATTCGCCCAAGACAACGTACGGTACACCGTGAGCGACGCTGCTATAACTCACGTTGAAAAAGTCGCAGCAACATAACGCTATCCCTACTTATTACTGAGAACCGTCACTCCGGTCCACGACAACAGCTCCTCGTCAGTGAGCCCACAGACCTGGCGAACAGGGCAGGCTTCATTCCAGTACCAGCAGAAGTTCAACACTGCTCCTCATCATATCCGTCCCCGTCCTCATTTCCGTACTCGTCATGATCCTTTATGTTTTCATACCCCCTAGGGCACAATTGTCGAGGGATGCGATGTGTACCACAAAAAACCGAACCTTTCCCATGTAGGAAAGTATCGCGCATTCTACCTGGTGGAACACACTCACCAGGGACCCCCAAGAGGCCCCATAGTGGCCCAACCGGCCTCCAGGACTACCCCAAACTAGCTGTAGAGGGCCACCCACCGGAGGGAGCCGATAGGGCCTCGTAGGGCCTCTCGACAGCCCAAGACAACGCCAGGATGGCCCACGACGGCCCAAGAGAGCCCCAAGACGGCCCAAGAGAGCCCAAAGACGGCCTAGGAGAGCCCCAAGACCGCCCAAGGGACCCCCAAGCCTGCCCCGCAGGAGTCCAGGCCAGCCCCAAGAGGGCCCAAATGAAGCCCATGAGAGCAGACCGAGAAGTGAAAACGAAAGGTGTCGCAAATGACGGCTCCTCATACTTCTCATACTCGACACACATCGTCATCGTCATCATCATCATCACAATCACCCGAATCATCATCATCATCATCATCATCATCATCATCATCATCATCACAAGCACCATCATCATCATCATCAGCATCACCATCATTGTCATCAGCATCATCATCATCATCATCATCATCGTCACTACCATCATAATCGTCAACATCATCATCATTATCATACTCAACAGCATCATAATCACCATCATCATGATCATCATCATTATCGTTATCAACATCCTTGATCTCGTCCTCGTCCTCGTCCTCCTCATCATCACCATCAACATCACCACCACCATCACCACGACCCTCGACATCACCATCATCATCCTCATCATCATCAACATCATCACCATCATCACCATCGCCATCAACAACAATATCAACATCAACATGAATACCAACATCAACAACAACATCAACATAAACATAAACATCACCACAACCACCATCACCATCGTCAGCATCATCATCATCACCATCGTCATCATCGTTACAGTTACCACCATCATAGTCCACGTCCTCGTACTCCTCATCATCACCATCAACATCGCCACCACCATGATTGACCATCATGATCCTCATCATCATCATCAACAGCATCACCATCATCACCATCGCCATCATCAACATCAACGTCAACATCAACATCACCATCATTAGCATTATCAACGCCATCATCGACAACATCAACATCAAAATCAACATCAACGTCATCATCAACATCAACACCACCACCAACATCGTCAACATCATCATCGTCGTCATCAACAACATCTTTACTATCATCACCATCGTCATTACTGTTACCACTATCCTTGTCATCGTCCTCGTCCTCATCATCATCACCATCAACACCACAACTGTCACCAACACCATCAACATCACCACCACCATCAACACCATCACCGTCATCATCAACATCAACATCAACATCACCATCAACATCACCATCAACATCACGGTCAACATCAACATCAACATCAACATCAACCATTAACGTCAACATCATCACCACGACCATCATCAACAACATCATCATGTAGTCGTCCCCATCGTCCGCCACAATCCTCCTCGTCCTTTCCTTATCTTCTTCATCATCTCATCGTCATCGTCGATACCATGCTCATCGGGTCGAGCATCTGCCACCGAGACTGCTGAAGCGGTACGGTGGCGGGACTTGCCGCAGGCAGCTGGACAATGAGTAACCTCTACCTCTCATGATGTGCTGTACTATACCCTGTTCTGTGTGCAGATAGTCCTTAAAGAGTGTGGTAAACGATCTTACATAGGATGGTGGGGAGTGGGATGGAGGTCGAGTGGCAACAACATGTGGAGAGTAGAGAGTCGAGTGTCGAATGCAACAAAGGAGTGAGGAAACGAGAAAAGAGCCAGAACTGGGGTAGGGAGTTTGGGTACAGAGTAAAGAGCAGATGCTGAGCAGACTTGAGTAGGCGGCAGATTATGTCAGAGTTTGGGTTAGACAGTCTTACAGGGGAACAAACAAACTTACATTACATGAGGTAGTGGGAGAGGGAACTCGAGTAGGGAATAGAGTGGGTGCAGGAGTAGAGAGTACATCCTACATAGACTTGGGTAGGTGGCAAACTATATCAGACTATGGGTTCGACAGTATAGTAGTTACATTAGGCAGTGGGAGAGGGAATTCGTGTAGGGAGTCTATTAGAGACACGGAGAGAGGGGGGGAGGGAAACACGTTTTCGAACTGCCTGTTGGCAACCTGCTCGAAATGTAAAACTCCGTTTGAATAGTCAATACTTGAGGTCTCAACGGACTTATGTATGCCCGTGATTCTTCAATTATGTGGCTGGGAGCCTGCTTAGTTTGAAGATGGAAGATATCAGCGGACATATGCCCTGGCGTCTTCAAGCAAACGGCTTGCAGCCTGGTTCCAGAATCAACCTCCGTTCGAATATTGAGAATGTCTCAGCGGTCTTCTGTCCAGGATTCCTAAACAAGTGGTTTGCAACCCTGCTTGAAGATGTTGGCATAAGGCCGCCAGAATCTTCGACCTTAAATCTCCAAACGCCCGCGCGTGTTTGAAGAATTATTGGCATTACCCCCGGCAATCTTCAACGCTCAATCATCAAACAGAAGATGAGGAAACAGGCGGCTTGCTCCTCGATTGGTGGAAGCAATTCAGCACACAGCCACTGAAGACGGACGAGGGAGCCACGGCTTGCTCCTCGCGTGTTTTTGTTAGCGTTTCTGGTGCAAGCTCCGTGCAATCTTCCATCCTCAATCTTCACGCGGACGGGGAGGGGTCGTCTCACAAAACGCCTTACAGCAGGCGGCGGACGCGCGCGAGAGAGAGAGCGAGAGAGAGAGAGAGAGAGAGAGAGAATGAGAGAGAGAGAGAGAGAGAGAGACAGAGGGAGAAGCGGGGAGCGGAGCGCGACGCGGAGAGAGGGGAGAGAAGCATGTGAAGTGAAGAGCTTTGCCAAAAGGGAGCTTCGATCCCCCGACCGCCCCAGTCCGCAGCCCCCCTCCGTGAACGGGGGAAGACCAGCCTGAGAGAAACTCTTTTGTGTCGTCGGGAGCACCCGTCCCGGGGCGGCTGGCAAACTCGTACCTTTACGGTGGCACGTCAGGGTGCAAATTGCACCAGGGAAAAAAAGCCCCAATCAGTGGATGGTTTTCGCTGATCGACCGGGAGCCCGGGAGCCCGGGAGCCCGGGAACCCAAAACCCACCGCAATCGGCCCAGATCCAATAACCGGGAACCCGCGAACCGGGAACGGGGAACGCAGGAACCCAGCCTGCTACCAAAATCGGCGGGAAACTTTCGCCAAATCTTTCGACTTCCGCGAGGACCCCTTCAGTGCAAGCACTGATGGGGGGAACTTTGCAGCCGCCCTGGACAGGCGCTCCCGGTGGCGAAGCAGCTCATCTCAAGCCGTTCTTCGCCTGCCAGCTCCTGGACGACCCCTTCGGCGGTGGACAAACCTCCCTATAGTGAACCTCCTCTTAGTGAAAACGGCCTGGGACCGAAACCGACGGACCTGGACCCGCAAAAATGACGGCCGCGACGCCCTCTCGCGAACCGAAAACGGCCAATTCCTTAATCGACGTGTCAGGGTAGGAGGTCTGTCCACCCTAGACCCCTCTGGCCGCGAGGTGGGCCCTGGCCTTGCCATCCGGGCCGAGGAACTTGCTGACCTCGCGCGCGGGGGGCGCGGGGGGGGCGCGCACCCCTCGCTGCAGGGTCGTCTTCCCCCCATTGTCCATGTTTTCCCACCTTTTCCTGGAGATCGACGATGAATTGTGTCTGTGTTTTTTTTTTTTCCCCTCCTGAAAACGATGGCTGTGACCAAGACTGAACGCCGAGGTGCCGGGGTCGGCTCCTGGTCATGGCCAATCTTGGTCATCATCGACTCGTGCAACCTTCTCGCGAAGCGGCGACGGCCGGCATGGGCCATTGATGGGACTGATTTCCACCACCACTACCATATGTTGGAGAAGGAGGAGGAGGAGGAGTAGAAAGAAGAGGAGGAGGAGGACCTCTCCCTCCAACCTATGGTAGTGGTGGTGGAAACCAAGCCCATCAGCCATGACTACAAGAGTGGCGTCGACAAGACCCCGCGACATCTTGGTCGTGGTCAACGTGCTTCTCCACCCGAGCCAGCTCCACAGATCGGGGAAGCGCCCCCCCCCCGAAGCGTCGAGCCTCAGGTCTGGCATGTCCTCCCACAGGCGGATTTTGGACGAAGGAGAATGCACAACAACTATTCGAGAATGCCCCAGATGATTTTTGGATGATTTTTGGATGTTTTTTGGGATTTCTGAATGATCCTACAGGCGGGTTTTTGGACGAAGAAGCATCGTCCCCAGATGATTTTTGGACTATTTTCTGTACAGTCCTCCCGTAGAGGGACACATGCCCGACCTGAGTCTGGCAAGTGCCGCCCGGCTTGACGACGGATAGCGCGCCGACTCTGCACGGCAAAAGCGGGGCCCGTCCGCTCCTCCGCGCGCCTCGATGCGTGCCGTGCGCTTCCTCGGCGCGAGCGGCGCCCCGCTGCGCCCTTGGGGTCCGGGTCAGGGCGGGCGTGTCCTCCTACAGGCGGATCCTGGACGAAACACAACAAATAGTTAAACGCACAAGACGCCGCCAAGTAGCCCCAAGACGCTCCCAAGAAGCCCCCAAGAGGCCCCCAAGACGGCCCCAAGAGGCCCTAAATAGCGCTCCAGGGCTAGCGTAATGAGCGAAGCGATTAAATAGTTAAACGCATTTTTAAAAGACGCCCAAACTATTTATTTTGTTTTATTTTTGAAAATTCCTCCTGTAGAGGGACACGCCCGACTTAAGGTTAGGGGTCGGTGAACAAGTAGGTACTGATCTTCCTCGTGCTGGCCCTGTTTCACGGTTGCCGTTGCGATGCGAGTGGTCTCGCAGCCAAGGCTGGCGGTGCTCTTCGTCTCTGGCCAGAGTTGGAGGCAGCCGGGCGGGTGCGAGCCGGGGGTCTTACTTGGGCCGCTCATTCCATTGAGGGCTTGGGCAATACTGGCCCGGTCTGGCCGATACGCTCGACCCTGAGGTCCTGGCACTCCCACTTTTTCGAGCCAGGCGTCTTCGCCCAGAGCTGGGCCCCGAGACCCTCACAGATCAGTCCTGCTCGCAAGTGGCGCAGAAGATGGGGTCCAGGGCTCCCGTCGTGATTTTCGCGATTTTCCATTTTTCCGAGACGTCGGATCTCAAGGGATGGTAGCTCGTTCCGAGAAGCCTGAGCCACTTCTCCTGTCTCCCGTCCTCCTCGTTTCGTCGTCGTCGCCCGTCGCTGTGCCCTCGCGCGGTCCAACGCACACAGCACACAACACACACACAACATTCAACACACACACACAACACTCAACACAGAACACAACACACAACACACAACCCACAAAACAAAACCAAACACCCACACACACACACGCACACACCAACACACACCAACACACAACCCGACACGCACACACAAACACACGCACACATACACGCTCACACACACACACGCACGCACACACGCACGCACACACACACACACGCACACACACAAACACACAACCACACAAAAACAAAAACACAAAAACACAAACACACACAAACACAAAAACACACATACACACAAACACACAAACACACAAACACACAAACACACAAACACACAAACACACAAACACACACACACACAAACAAACAAACACACAAACACACAAACACACAAACACACAAACACACAAACACACAAACACACAAACACACAAACACACAACCACACAAACACACAACCACACAACCACACAAACACACAAACACACAAACACACAAACACACAAACACATCAACACACAAACACACAAACACACAAACACACAAACACACAAACACACAAGCACGCAAACAATCAAACAATCAAACACACAGACACACACACAGACACACACACAGACACACACACACACACATACACACACAGACACACACAGACACACACACACAGACACACACAGACACACACAGAGACACACACAGACACACACACAGACCCACACACAGACCCACACACAGACCCACACACACAGACACACACAGACACAGACACACACACAGACACAGACACACACAGACACACACACACAGACACACACACAGACACACACAGACACACATACACAGACACACAAACAGACACACACACAGACACACACAGACACACACACAGACCCACACACAGACACACACACACACACACACACACAGACACACACACAGACACACACACAACACACACACAGACACACACAGACACACACAGACACACACAGACACACACACACAGACACACACACAGACACACACACAGACACACACACAGACACACACACAGACACACACACAGACACACACACAGACACACAGACACACACAGACGCACACACAGACACACACAGACACAGACACACACACACAGACACACACACAGACACAGGCACACACAGATACAGACACACACAGACACAGACACACACAGACACAGACACACACACAGACACAGACACACACAGGCACAGACACACACAGACACAGACACACACAGACACAGACACACACAGACAGACACAGACACACACAGACAGAGACACACACACACAGACACACACAGACACAGACACACACACAGACACACACAGACACACACAGAAACACACACACAGACACACACACAGAGACACACACACAGACACACACACAGAGACACACACACAGACACACACACAGACACACACACAGACACACACACACAGACACACACTCAGACACAGACACAGACCCAGACACAGACACTGTGTTGTGCTGTGCTGTGTTGTGATGTGCTGTGCTGTGTCGTGCTGTGCTGTGCTGTGTTGTGTTGTGCTATGCTGTGTTGTGCTGTGATGTGCTGTGATGTGCTGCCACACACACGCACACATGCGGCCTCGCCGCGTTGTGCTGCGCTGTGATGTGTAGCGGTGCGGAATCCGGAGCCATTGGTTCTGTACCGGGAGCGCCGGCCCCGGCCCGCGATTAGTTGATCCCGTCGTCCTCTCCTTCCCCTTCTGTCCCTCCCCCTCCCCTCCTTGCGATCCCCTTCCTCCCCTGCTCACACACACATACACACGTGTGGCTCAAGCACGGTCTCTCACCCACCCGCGTTCCCACATGCTACAGCGAGCCTTGTGTGGAGTCGCGTGGTGCAGGTGCTGCCCCGTCACACCGCCCTGAACGGGCTGGTCCACCCACCAAAACCGACAGCGGCACCCACCGAGGTGGCGTGGGTTGTTCGCGTGTCGCGTGAAGGTCGGTGTGCCCAGTTCCGCGACGGGACCGGTCCTGGTGGATGGGTGCATCAAGAGCAGTGTGCGGGGTGTGTATATTGGCGTTGGGTGGCCGCACAGAGGACCGTGCCCCACCCACGGACCTCCCCCTCATCCACTGCAGCCGGCATTGCTTGCCTTGGCGTGCGGCCTGGTATGAGACGGTGCGAGGATACGGTGTCCCCGCTATGGGCGGGCAACGAACGAACAAACACACACACAGACACACACACAGACACACACAGAGACACACACAGAGACACACACAGACACGGACACACACAGACACACACACAGTCACACACAGACACACACACAGACACACACACAGAGACACACATACACACAGAGACACACACAGAGACACACACACAGAGACACACACACAGAGACACACACACACAGAGACACACACAGAGACACACACAGAGACACACACAGACCCACACACACAGAGACACACACACAGAGACACACACACAGAGAGACACACACACACAGGCACACACAGAGACACACACAGAGACACACACAGAGACACACACAGAGACACACACACAGAGACACACAGAGACACACACAGAGACACACACAGACACACACACAGAGACACACACAGAGACACACACACACAGACACACACAGAGACACACACACAGAGACAAACACACACAGAGACACACACACAGAGACACACACAGAGACACACACACACAAAGACACACGCACAGAGACACGCACACACACAGAGACACACACAGAGACACACACAGAGACACACCCACAGAGACACACACACAGAGACACACACAGAGACACACACACAGAGACACACACACAGACACACACAGACACACACAGAGACACACACACAGAGACACACATAGAGCCACACACAGAGACACACACAGAGACACACACAGAGACACACACAGAGACACACACAGAGACACACACAGAGACACACACAAAGACACACACGGAGGCACACACGGAGGCACACACGGAGACACACACGGAGGCACACACGGGGACACACACAGGGACACACACGGGGACACACACGGGGACACACGGGGACACACGGGGACACACGGGGACACACGGGGACACGCGGGGACACGCGGGGACACACAGAAACGCACGGGGACGCACGGGGACGCACAGGGACGCACAGGGACGCACAGGGACGCACAGGGACGCACAGAGACGCACAGAGACACACAGCGACGCACACACACAGAGACACACACAGAGACACACACAGAGACACACACAGAGACACACACAGAGACACACACAGAGACACACACAGAGACACA